CATGTCTGCATCTTGTACAGCAATTAACCACTAGGAAGAATGTATGCAATGTGTTAATTATTGAAACTGTCCTACCAATTTGGTTTGAAACTGTCTCACTGCTATCTGTTTCTCAATAAAATTATGGGGGGGGGGAAGAAAATAAAAAAATCAATATAATCTATTAAATAGACAAAAAGGAAACATCACATGATCATATAAATAGCTGCTAAAAGGGCATTCAGCAATATTCAGAATCCATTCATGATAAAGTTCTCAGCAAACAATATAAAGGGAACACCCTCAACTTGATAAACGACAACAAATCGAAAATTAATAACACACTCATTGATGAGAAACAAGTTTTCTTACCAAGATCAGAACAAAACAAATATACTCCTTCTCACTGATCCTTGTCAACATTACATGGGAAGCTCTAGCTAACGCAATAGGACAAGAAAAGGAACTGAAGTTATGCTAATGGTAACTGAAAAGGAAGGAAAAAAACTGTTCCCAGATGATATGGTTGTATGTGTGGAAAATTAGAAAGAATTGACCCCTCCACCAAAAAACCCTCCTAGAACTAGAAAATGATTATAGCAAGTTTACAGGACAAAGTTAATATGTAAGTCAATGAATAAGTACAATCTGAAATTTAAACATTACCATTTATATTAATAACTCCCAAACCTGGGTGCAAATCTAACAAAATATGTGCAAGATCTCTCTGAGGAAAACTACAACTCTGCTGAACAAAACCAAAGGACCAGATAAGAGAAGAGATATTTCATGTTCATTGACAAGAAGAGTCAAGATTGTCAAGACATCAGTTCTACCCAACTTCATTCCACACGTTCAATGCAATCCCGATCAAAATCCCAGTAAGTAAATTTGTAGATATCAATAAGCTGACTCCATAGGTTGTTTGAAGAGATCATAAAAACCAGAAAAGTCAACATCCTATAAAGGAGAAAGACAGCTGGAGATCTGACACTGGCGGGTGTCAAGACTCAGTGCACAGCCACAGCAATCATGGCAGCATGGCACTGACCAAAGAGCAGACAGAGAGCCCCAAAATATACTCATGTAATTACAGTCAGCTGTTGCTGCACAAGGGTGCAAAAGCAATCTCACGGCGCAAATAATAGTGCTGGAACTGCTGGCTGGCCACATGCAAAAATAAGGAAGAGAATACAGACACAGGATTTTGCTTTACAAAACAAACACAGCACGGATCACAGCCTGTGCAGAGAATGCAGTGCTAAACCTCAAGAAGATATAGCAGGAAAAAACCCAGATAATTTTTAACATGGTGATAATGACTTTTTAGATGTAAAACAATCCATGAAAGAATGATAGGCTGCAAAAGGGATGGTCAGATATCTCAGAGAACTGAAGTGCCTGCTTAAGCAGGCACAGGGACTGGGGTTAGATCCCCAGCGTGCCGGCGCCTCCAGGGTGCACTGAGATGCAGACTGAGACTGGGCATAGTGGTGTGCACCTGTAATCTCAGCTCTTGGGAGGCTGAAAACAGGAGGATCACTACAAGTCTGATCTGTGTAGTGAGACCCTGTAGACCCTGTACTAAATACATTTTTTTAAAAAATAATACACTACTTTGTGGAAGACAGTGTCAAGGCAGAGAGGAGAAAATCACAGACTGGCAGAAAACATTTGTGAAAGAAATATCTGATGAAAGATGGCTATCTAAACACAAATAATTCTCGAAACTCAACAGCAAGAGAATAAATAAGCAGCTTAATTAAAACATGGGCCAACAACCTTCACATAGCTCTCAATAAGAAAGATCAGAGACAGAGACTAAGCACAGGAGAGGATGCTCTGCATCACACGCCACGGGGGTGCAGGTTAAAACAGGAGGACACCAGGATGCATCCACCAAGATGAGGAAAGCCCACAATGCCGGCCACACAAGGTGCTGGCGAGCACATGGGCAGCAGGGCTGCAGGGGGATGCACAACACGCAGCCACAGCGAGACATCAGGCAGCGCCCCACAAAACCGAACAGTCTTTACCAAACAATCTAGCAAGTATGTTCCGCGGTACCACTGAGAGGAGGAAAAAATATTTCTGTCCACACAAATACCTGCATGCAGATGTTAGAATGAACTCTATTCACAATTGCCCAACTCCAAAGGAACCAACCAGGGGTCATTCAGGAGGTGGCCTACCCTAACAATGGAATACATTCAACCCAAAAAAGAAGTGAGGAAATCAACCTATTTACTACTAAGTGAAAAGCGCCACGGCACCCTGGGAAGGCACCACCCCAAAGAAGGCAGATCTGCCTCACACCTCACAGACCCCACAAGGCACATAGTCACCCAGGATCAACTGTTCTCACAGGTGCAGATGCCTAAATTTCTTTCTCCCTCTGATTTCACACAGATACCTGAAAATCATTATTTATGGTAGCATCAACTAACAGCCTGAAGCATGTGGCTTCTAATTTATCTGTTTAACTCAATTCCCCCACCTTCCTTCAACTTGGAAGCCACACAGGATTGAAAAGGCTGCCTCTACCCACAGGAACCTCCCAGCCCACACCAGGTATGCTGGTGCATGCCTATAATCCCAGCACTAGGGAGGCTGAGGCAAGAGGATTGCTGTGAGTTCAACACCAGCCTGGAATATACAGTGAGTTCATGGCTAGCCTCCTGAACTACATGACAAGATCCTTCTCCTGTGATACCATACTTCCCCCCAAAATGAGATCTAACTAGAGATCAAAAATGCCATCTCCAAGGGCCAGCCAGATAGCTCAGCAGACTAAAGAGCCTACTTGAGTGCAGCAGGTGGGGTTTGATCCCGGTGTGCTGTGCCGGCCCCGCCCCAGGGGTGTGCTGAGACAGGGATTGAGACTGAGGGTGGTGGCGCACACTTGTAATCCCAGCACTTGGGAGGCTGAAAACAGGAGAATTTCTTTGAGTCCGACCTGTGTAGTGAGACCCTATAGACCCTATAGACCCTGTGGACTCTGTCCTAAATACATTAAAAAAAAAAAAAGCCATCTCCAAAAAGCCTATCCTTGCCTTACCTGGCATTACAGAGCAGCCATTGAGCAAGAGAATAGAGAAGTGAAATCTTCTGCATGACCCTGACCATCCCAACAGTAATGACAAGGTATTGATTACAGTTGGGTCTATTTTTGGTTAGCTCTTATTCCCAAGGGAGCACGGGCTGCACATCCATGTCTGCAGTCAGATCTGTACCCCCTACCCCACAACCAGGCACAGTCTCTACTCAAGGGGGACATTTAGGGGCCTGCCCCTTAGCTCAGTTCTTTAAGTGGCTGCTTCAAGAAAGCAGTCAGGCTCAGGTTGTTTTGGTTCGATCCCCACAACTCAAGCCAACCAAACCTGCCCTGAAGGCATTCGGAGCTAAAAAAAAAAACAAAAAAAAAAAAAAAAAAAAAACAAAAAAAACCCTTCAAGGGGGACATTCAAACTGGTGCAGACAAAATTTATGTTAGGGTTGTGGCTACCCCTGTGTCTTAGTTACTCTTCTCTCGTTGCTTTTTGCTGGGACAAATACCCGACACTCAAAATGAAGGAAAGAAAGGTTTATTTAGCTCACAGTTACTGGAGGTTTCAGTTCATACTCAGCTGGGTCCAACGCAGAGCAGCACAGAGCAGAAAGCAACCTTTCATGCAGTGGCAAAGAGCAAGAGTGCAAGGGAGGGATAGCAGCAGCTCAAGCAGCTAGCTTCTCTTCCCTCCTTACATTGTAATGCAAATTACCTGCCCCAGGGTAGGGGAAGTACTCACACCTATGGGTACTTCCCAATACTTACCCACCTATGGGTAATCCCAGCAGTACTAAAACCCATAATCCCAGCCTTGGATCACACATAATCCCAGTGGATCATGAGTTAACACAAACTCTAGAAGTCCACACCCCATGACTGCATGAGGCTTTGGGGGGACAACTAGACACAAACCATAACACCCTGCATATCTGTCCTACTGTCTAGAGGGAATAATAATGATGCCAATAAATCCATAAGTAACACAAAGGGTATACTGGGGTGAGACCGTGAACAGGTGAAAAGACAGGCACTCCTTACCACGGCTTCTTCAGCGCCCTGTCCCAGAGCTGACTTCCCCGCAGCCAGGCCTTCCTCATGGCTGTGCTGGAGGACAGAGGACAGCTACGTCAGCATCAGCACAAGCAAGCACACAGAAAGCCATCCCCTTTCCTCCCAGGAGGTGCTATCCTTAGCACTGGGGGTATACGCTGTGACACTCAGGACTGGCCGGTGAGCAGCGCGGCTCAGGGAAAATGACTAAAACTCTCTGCACCTTGGTTGTCTTCTTTAAAAAGTGAAAATTATAGTACATACTTCATAGTGCCAGCGAGAAGACTGAAGAGAATGATGCACAAGAAGTGATGCAGACATCACTTGCTGCTGGCACTGGCACTAGGAAGATCTGATACCCAGGGACCACAGCCCAGAACAAGGCGGCAGCCCAGAAACCGACGGCAGCACAGAGAGGCTTCGTGAGGACAGGGATTCTCCATGGGTCCAGACAATACAAGGCATCGAGTGGGCTCTCCACATGCTAAAGAACTGAGCCAAGATAAATTTAGTGCTGATACCATAAAAGACAGGACCTAATTGCAATCATAAGTCAGAGATCAAGGTCCCCTTCTGTTGGGAGACACAGGAAGCTAGGAAATTGATCAAATGTGTGTAGGTGGAACTGGGCCTCAGTGCCTAAAGCAATCAAGATACCTCAGTCCTGAGAAAAACATCCACCCCGTTTGGTTCCCAGTCAGCTATTAGTCGCTAGGCAACTTTGCATCATGCGTTACTAACTTTGCAAAAGTATAAATAAAGGATGATTTTGAGGTGGATTTTTTTTTTTTTTTTTTTTTTTTCTGGCTCAGGCTGCCTTAAGGGCGGGCCTGGTATGGCATGTGAAACTGGGGATCAAACTGGTGGTCCACTGCACCTGACTGAGTTTTGCCTAAGCAGGCACTTTAAACAACTGAGCTAATCAGCAAGCCCCCAAAAGATCATTTTGTTGTGCAGGTGAGTTAGTCTTCCATCAGGCAGACTAGTGACCACCTAGCCCAGCTCCTGTCTTTTTGTCTTTCTCATCCTTGCTACCATGTCTCCCCAGGTAGCACTGTTTGCAGTAAGACCAACGGATCCCTACACCCTTTGGACTCTATCTCAGGAAAAATGTGCCATACACTTAACTCTTCTTGAAAAAAAAAAAAAATCAAAAAATCTAAATTTTTATATGATTTGATGTTAAAAGGCTCCTGTTTTACATTTTTTGGATCATAAATGCTATTAAAATTAATGTCTTTTTTTAACTTTATTAATATGATTTCTAGAATAGTTTAAATTATAAGTATGGTTCACCTTATAATTCTAGTGAATAATTCCATTCTGGAGTTTATAGAAAAAATTAAGAGACATTAAGAAAACAACAACAACAACAAAAAAACCCTACCACTTCATCCAATAATTCCACAAGTCTACTTCAAGAATCTATCCACTGGCTGGCACACACCTGCAATCCTAGCATCTAAGAGGGTGAGACAGGATGATCACTGTGAGTTTAAGACATCCCTGGGCTACAAAGTGAGTTCAAGGCCAGCCTGAACTGTATAGTGAAACTCAGTCTCAAAAAGAAAAAGAGCGAGAAAAACAAAAGAGACAGGGAGACAGAGACAGAGAGAGAGATGGAGACAGAGACAGAGACAGAGACAGAGACAGAGAGAGAGAGGAGAAAAAGAAGAGAAAGATAAATTAATTTACCCACAAGAATAATGAAGCATCCCCACAACTCAAGCCAGCCAAACCTGCCCTGAAGGCATGCGGGGTTGGGGGGGAGAATGAAGCAGATCTGGATCGTCTGAAAGATTTCCAAAATAAAGTGGGAAACATGCATTACATAGCACATTTGTAAGTAAAACAAACTCCCAAATATACATATTGACATATAATCATAAAAGATTATAGCACAAGAAATAAAAGCTCATTTTTCTGAGGTGATATTATGGCAGGCCAAGAATGATCTGACCGTGTGTCCCACACCAAATGAATGGGGCACAGGCTTCCCCGACCAGCCCTCTTCTGTGCAGCCACCTGCTCTGTGCTCATGCACAGGACACAGCGTTACTGTTTGTGTCTAGTTGTCCCCCAATGCCTCATGCAGTTATGGGCAGAATTTGAAAATTAGTGATTGATTCATGATCCAAGGCTGGGATTATGGTCAGAGTACTGCAGGAATTATGGGCATGGTGCTACACCCAGCCTGGGGCGGACAGCCTGAATGTAACATAAGAAAGGCAGACTTGCTCTCTGTAGCCATTGTTGCCATTACACCTCCCACTTGCTCTTGCTGCTTTGCTGTTTTCTGCCACCATGAACTGTTGCCCTCTGCCACATGCCACTCTGAGTACGGACTGAAACCTCCATTAACTGTGAGGTAAATAAAAAACCTTTCCTTCCTTAATTTTGGGTGTCAGGTACTTTGTCCCAGCAACAAGAGAAAAGTAACTGAGACAACAAGCACACAAAATGTAGCACCACAATGCTGTATATGATTATAAGATCAGAAGTGCCAATAAAAAAAATCACAGAAAGAAAAATTAATCTGCAGAAATAATTCAAAAGAAGTCAAAGTATGGTTGCCACATTTCATAGTAACAAAACCAAAAACTAGAAAAATGGTTTGATGATAATCAACCTCCAGGGTATACTATTTTATAATTATTATGTAATCATTATGAAGATTATTCTAATAATTGTGGAACGGTATAAAGTAATGAAGAACATGGAGAAACGCTGACACACTAAGTGATGAGAACAGCACAGTGTGACCCTGACATGAGGTGTTTAAAGGTGAGAGCAGAAGTGTGAGGAGACGGATGGCAGGTCACACTGGTACAACCACGAGTGCTTGGCACAGTGCGCACAGGAAGCCTTCTCCACCTGGCTTCTTGGTGGGAAGATTCTCAACACTAACATCATTTCTTTGCTTGTTATAGGTCTATTCAAACTATTCCTTCCTAAGGCAGCTTTGTTAATTAATGTCTCAGAACTTGTCCTTTTCATCTAACTTGTTCAAACTGCTGTTAGCAAGCAAAGGTGTGCTATTCACAATCCAAAGTAGGATGCTAAGCCTTATCATGGGTTGTCTACTTTACCCTTCAATTTTGTCAACTCTTTTTTTTTTATGTATTTGTGTGTGTGTGTGTGTGTGTGTGTGCGCGCGCGTGCGCGTGTGGCCAGCTCAGCCCACCAGGGGGCGGGGCTGGCTGGCATGTGGTGCTGGGGGATTGAACTGCGGTCCCTGTGCTTTGCTAAGCTTGTTGTAAGTAGGTGCTTTAGACCACTGAGCCATCTCACCAGCCCAATCAACTCTTCTTATATGTGGGGGATCTCACTGGGTCCACGTTCATTTGAAGTGCCACTGCTGCACTGCTGCACTGCGGATCTGGCCATTGTGCAGTGTATGTCTCTCCCAACACTCCCTGCTCACCTGATGCTAGGACAGCCAATCGCTGGCTCAGGGTTGTGTCTGATGTTTTTCTTTGTTCATCTTTTTACTTTCAATTTGTTAAGTTTCCTAATCTTAACTGAGTCTTTTTTTTTTAAAAAAAAAAGAGAATACAAAATGGGGAAAGAAATATTAGAAATGATACAGAATTTTACAAAAACAAAATAGCAGGAATTCAACAATGGTTGTTGTATTACATAAACTTATCTTCAAATTAGTTGTACATTGGGGCCAGGGAGATGGCTCAGTGGAATAAGCACTTCCCTGGCAAGTGCAAGGGCCTGAGCTCAATCCCCAGTTGCAGAAAAAAAAAAAAATTAGTTGTATAGATTACCAGATATAATCATGCAAAACTGGTTTTAAAAAAGAGGAAATTTTAAAAAAGAAAAAACTTAAAAATATTAACTGCTCCATTCAATAGGCCAGCAGAAATCAAATGCACAGGGCTGGCCAAATGGCTCAGCAGATTAAAATGCCTGCAAGCAGGTGCAGGGGCTGGGGTTTCAATCCCCAGACCTGCCATGCCAGCCCTGCCCCAGGGGGGCACTGAGACAGTGATTGAGACTGGGCGTGGTGGTGCACACCTATAATCCCAGCACTTGGGAGGCTATGAGTCCAATCTAGTGGTGAGACCCTGAAAACTGTGTAGGCCCTTCCCTAAAAATACATAAAAAAATTTTTTTTTAAAAAATCAACAGTACAGGGGCTGGGGAGATGGCTCAGTGGAATAAGCGCTTCCCTGGCAAGTGCAAAGGCCTGAGTTCAATCCCTGGTTCTGAAAAAAAAATAAAAAATAAAAGAAAAAATAAAGAAAAATCAACAGTACAATTACCCAAGCCACCTGCATATACACCTACACATGCCTTCTTCCCTCACGCGAGTCTGCTGTACCTCTGCAGACCCTCATGCAGCTCAGCCGCCGGCAGCCAAGCACAGGGCTGCACTCGCATATGTCCGCCTGCCTGGCCCTACACATGCAGCCTTACCTTCCTTCTTGAGTCTTTATCTTTCCCATTACTTCTTACTAAATTCTCCATGTGCCTACAAAGGAAATATGATCAAAGTCAAAATTTACTTCTCAAAACTAAGACATTTTCCACCTCAGTCAAGGCTCATAACAAAGTTTAGCTATGATTAAAACGGCTGTAGGTCGGTAAGTCACGGCTTACTACAATGTGAGTGCTAAAGCCTCTCCACATTTTTATTATTTCAGCAGTAATTCAAGATAGAAAATATCTTGAGCACAAAAAAGAATGTATTCTAACTCTCCATGGTGAGTATAATCACTATGTACTATAAACATGTACTAATAAAAAATTAATTAAAAGAAAAAAGTAGGTGTTTTCACAAACTTTTATGTGTACAAATGTCTATCCTTTAAGGATTCTAAAATTTTTCTAATTTTAATCAATCTTGAACACTATTTTATCTAATATACGGTATTCACATTTCTAAAAGAAGTATCTGGGGCTGGGGAGATGGCTCAGAGGAATAAACGCCTCTCTGACAAGTGCAAGGGCCTGAGTTCAATCCCTGGATCCACCCAAAACAAAGAAGTATCTGTGCTAAAGTTTTTTTTCTATTTTTAATCATATGCTTCAGTTGATTCTCACCTTTTATAACTCACTTTCACAACACTCCCAGGCAACACTGGTTACCAAATCCACAGACTAAAGCAAAGCTTTTCACTCTAGCAGACTAACATATTACGATAGAGAACATGACTCTCCAGGTGTAATCCCTGGCTTTGTTCAAACTGGTAAACACTCGGGAAAGACCTTTAATGTGAGTTTTCCTATGTGTGAGAAAGAACTACAAAATAGTGTTGTAACAAACTCAACTCCAGGGCTTGGCCTGGGATGTAGCTCATTGTTAAAGCACCTGGCTGCTATCCCTAGCACTGCTAAACTAAAAGAAACCCTGGAGCTCATGGGATGAATTTATACATGACTTTAATATGTATTCCTCAAAATTAAATGTTGGCATCATTATTTTACCGAAAGGCCTTCTCATATCACAACTGAAAAGCAAACATGAAATCCAGTCAAGGTTGGCAGGATCTGTTCCCACTGTGTCTGCCGCTGTCTGAGGCTGTTTTTCCTTGAGGTTTGCAAACTAAAAACGCTGGTTAGTGGGGATTTGTGGGCGCCTTACACTCACTTGTACCTGTAAGAGGGAGTGAGCCCACTCCAGCTGCTATAGCTCCAGGAAGAGGAAGAGGCAACCAAGTAAGTTATTCTCTCCAAAGTGCATACTGGTTCTCCAGTCACATGAGCAAATCTTTAACATACCAACTTGCAACAAGTCTTACGGCTTACATCCAGGTGTCACCCCCAAACCTGATGTGCTCCTCGGTGGGGAGACTGGATTATGAGTATGTGACACTGGATCAACCCACCGACTGCTTCAGCACAGTTTTGGGTGTGGGTGAGGGGCTTTCTGAGGAGGGAAGACTCGTCCACCCTGGGCACAGGAGGCCCCCGCCAGCAGGCTGGCAGCCTGGGTGCTTCCTCCCTACCTGCCAAAGGTTTCTTCTTCACAGTGCCCGCTTGCTGTGTTGTCCTGCCGTGGGGCCAGGCAGCCACGGGCTGAAACCTGTACAAACCATGAGCTAAAATAAACCTTTCCTCCTCTAACTTCTGAGTGTCAGATATTTTGTCCCAGCAACAAAAAAGTAACTATGACAGGAAGTTCTAATGTCTTCTAGCATGCCAAAAGGTTAATTTGAAGGGGTTAGATCCAGAAAAAAATAAAGTAAAACTACAATTTATTTCTGTTTACTGGCTAAAATTAGGCCCACTAAGAAGAGCTCATTTTTACAGCACTCTGTGAGAACTGTGCTAGGCTTAACAGCCAACAGAATGTGTGTCCTTACTGGCCGCTAGTCCCATCTCTTCTCGCATGTGCACCTCGGCTTCTGTGTTCACCACTCTACAAGAGAGAGAAACACGTCCGTAACCACTAAGTCATATGCAGTATGAATTAAGCATAATTATTAAATGCTATAAAACAGGAGTAGACTCCAATTTTAACAGTACCACCTACCCTACAAGTATACTTTAATAACTGTTTTACTAGTTAGTTACAGTAAAGTGGTAACTAATATTAGGAAACTGAATGAAAATATATTAAAGGTAACTATAAGTTATCTCAGTACGGGCCGGGGAGATGGCTCAGTAGAATAAGTGCTTCCCTGGCAAGCACAAGGGCCTGAGTTCAATCCCCAGTTCTACAAAAAAAAAAAAAAAAAAAAAAGCTGTAGATCTCACATGTCTTTGTAACAGCATGTAACTCAACTGTGTCCCAAATTTTCTGATCAAGGAGATTATGGGGCCATAGAGCAACGTGATCGATGATGTATTGTGTGCCTAAAGAGAGTAACCTGGAGAAAAAACATTCTCTCAGGCTTTCACAGGGAGCAAATTGGTCAAGCAATGGCTGTGACTCATCCTCATGCCTGACACTGAGAAAGTGTGGTACAGGGCTACAAGATAAATCCTGAGGGGACTTGACTGACCTTATCAGATACAAAAGTTACATTTCTTGTTATATAGGTCTTGCTTTATCTTGGTCTTAGCCATCCAGCAGAAAAGTATAAAAACGAGGTATATAAAGTAAAGCCATACTAATATGCTGAGCTATGAAAGGCTCAAGTCAACAACTTCTGTGGATAACCCACTACTGTTGTGGACTCCTGGACTGTGTTGGATTGTTCTGCTGAATTCATGCACCTATAGTATTTAGATGCCAATACAATACCCATCTCTGACAGGACTAAACAAAAAAAGGGGATACAAAGGAAGGACCATTTTGTATCTGTATATGCAGAATAGTTAGGATAGATATACAGCTACTTTCCCTTAATTCAATGAGAAGAAAGATTTGTACTAATAGTGTTTGGACAGGACATCCTGTCTGCATCTTGTACTATGGATAACCACTAAGAGGATAACAATGTACAATGTATTAATTATTGAAACTGTCCTATTAATCAGTTTTGAAATCTTATTGCTGTTTCTCAATAAAATAAAAAATAAAATAAAATTTCAAAGCCATAAAAAAATAAAAATAAAAAATAAATTATCTCAGTACTACAAATTACCTTGGTATAATTCATTTCACATAAGACACTATTTTACTGATCAAATCTGACTAGTTCCTCACATTTCCTAAAATTATGAATTTTCAAACACAGAGTATAGCTACTTCACAGTACCATGCAAAAAAATAAATCAATAGTCTTTTCTTGGATTAGGAGCTGTTCAAACTAAAAGTATTAGATTACAAAAGAGGCTCACGCAGGTACAGCCTCAGTGCAGAGTGTGTGCTGCTCGCGGGTGAGGAGCTCCAGGCCACCCTGCCCAGTGAGGACACAAGCCTTGGCTGCTCTGCAAGGAGGGACATGGATCGCGTCACTGTGCTCAGCTTGGCATGGAGCAGCTGGTACTGAGCCCGGGACAATCACTGAGCTACCCCCAGTCCTTTGTAAACTACTTACCAGTTCAATTATTTAAAATAGGACGACCAAAAATTGCCTATTTTTTCATTAATTTTTTTAAGGTAACAGGAAATATAAAAACAGTAGTTCTATCACATGTATTCAGTACAAGAACTGACGTCTGCCTGAGTCATTACATAAACAAATGTGCTGCCTGAGTGATGCGCAGGGTAAATTATTAAGGGCTTAAAACTTTTAATGTAGACTTATGTTTTGTTTTGAAACAGAGTCTCAGGCTGGAGAACTAGCTCAGAGGCACAAGCATCTGCCTGGCAAGTGCAAGGGCCTGAGTTCAATCCCTGGTTCTGCCAAAAAAAAAAATAGTTTTGAGTTCAATCCCTGGTTCCACCAAAAAATAAATAAATAAAATAAAAAAAGAAAAAGCAAAAGAAGAAAGAAAGCAGCATGAAGAAACAGAGGGATCAAACTGCACAAGCTGCAGAGTAGATAAAAACAGAGACACCAAACAGAGTCCAAGGAGGTACTAATCACAGGGACAAGGTCACACGCGTTAGGTTCTCTGCGCTCCAACAGTTCCTGTTTGTATTCTGCTCTGCTTAGTTCTTTGGCAAATTTATACTATAAACCTGCAGAAAGTCATTATTTTGTAAGTTACATACTTAATTTCTACTTTAAAAATATCAATTTCAGGCCCGGAAGTTAGCTCAGCCATCAGACAGCTGCCTAAGTACCTGCCTGGCAAGTGCAAGGTCCTGAATTCAATACTCTCCCCAATCAAAGAAAAAAAAAAAAAAGAAAGAAAGAAAAAGAAATCAGGAGGCCAGGGATATAGCTCAGGAGCAAAACACCTGCCTGGCATGCATGAGGTCACGAGTTCAATTCCTAGCACCAAAAAAAGAGAGGGGAAAAAAAAGAAAGAAAGGAAGGAAGGAAGAAAAGAAAAAGAAATCAACTTTCACAGAGCATGCTGCCATATTCCTATAATCCAAGTGCTCAGGAGGCTGAGCTGGCTACACAGCAAGTTCAAGGCTAGTCTGGATTATGATGCAAGATCTGTTGGGTTTTTTTTTAAAGCTTTTTTTCAAATGTTAAATTTAATAATTTTACAATATCTTTCCAGGGCCAGGGAGACAGCTCAGTAGAATGCTTGCCTGACAAGCGCAGGGTCCTGAGTTCAATCCCCCATACCGCAAAA